GTTCTGCCTGGGGTCGCCGCATCTTGCCCGGAGCGCGCAGAGGACGCGGCTTTCTGCCGAGCGGACAGCACGGCGGGGGCTCCCCCTGCGAGGGCAAAGACAGCGCGCCCTGCTCGTCGCTGGAGCTGCCGGGGCCGCGCCATTCCCGCCGCCTCCTGCCCTGGGGGCAGCGCTCCCGGGACCGGGCGGGAGCGATCCCGACCCGCGCTCCCTTAGAGCCACCTCCATTCCGGCTGCCAGCGCGCCCCGCCCGGGGACCGAGCCCTTCTCCGCGCTCGCTGTGGGGCAGGGCGCTTCAGGAGCACCCCCCGCCTCCCCGGTCCTCTGTGTGTCCCCCTGCTTCGCTCCTAAGCGTCTTTGCTGCGGCAGTTCATCTTATGTGAATGGTTTCATCATACCCAATACCTCCTGCTCCCCTAGCCTCTCAACCGAAATAGTGCCTCATGTAATTAAAAAAAAACTCCAAACCACCAAATAAAAACCGACACACATTAATCATTTAAGTCTGCAATACAAATGCAGTGTGCCTTCGATCTCCTAAGCCTGTCCCCAGAACCCTGTGTTACAACTGCCCCCGTCAAGTCCCCTTCTAATTCCACCAACCTGCTGGCTATAGACCACCCACCGTGGATATGCTTCCAGCCAGCTGAAAAGTCAGGAAATTACAGTTTGGAAGCCCTTGGCATCTGGAGGGGCAGCCAAAGAGGTTTTCTAGCTACTCAGTGCTTGGATAACTCCTGTAATAAAAGTCCACAGATTGAAGATCTACCTCCAAAACCGTCAGCCTGACTCCTACTCCCAAGAGATCTGCACACTTGCTGAGGCTGTACTCAATCCCACTAGCCATGGCTTTAAGGGACAGAATAATCAGTAGTAGCAGCCCCAGGGGAGACCTTGGAGTGAAATGGGTCTGGTATAGTTGCATATGCTGCTGATAGTGCTCTTTTACCCTTCCAGGTCATGCCTTTCTTCTTCATGCTGTAGTTTACCTTGCAAAAAAAGGGCTCTGACACTTTCAAAAGTTTCTCTCTTTCCAAAATGAATAAACTTTCACCCAAGAAGGCCACTGAACAGTCCTGAGGGTCAGCTAAGGGCTCAACTAAAGGAATGTCATCAATGAAGCACATTTCTCCATGTCAGTGTAGCTCTTCAAGGAGCATCAAGCCAACTGTTTCCTTTGGCCAGATCGAATCTACACCAACAGTGCTGTGACCAACCACAGACCTCTGGTTATCCCTAGAAAGCAGTGTTTGGATGCAGGAGAGCTGTGCTTTGCAGCCCCCATGCCCTTCAGACTACAAGGGACACCATTCCTTTCAGTCCCAAGGCCTGTCACCACTGGATGGCAGGACCAGGTACCTCCAAGCCCATGTTGCCTGCTGCCCATTGCAGGGGCACCTCCTGTCCCCCTGGCCTGCACAGAAAGGCAGTGAACACAGGAGCATGGTCACTCCAGCTGGGATCAGGTACCAGCAGTCTTTATTTGGCACCTTCTCCTTTGCTAAGGCATTCCTTGCCCTTGCCACCCATTCCTGGCAGCTCTCTGGTTGAAAAGGGTGGATGCTGTGACAAGGGTCTCTCCAGGGCTGCTCACATCTTCTTGGTAGGGCTGGCACTCCCGGGGCCTTCCCCATGCTGCTCCAGCAGACCTGTCTGCACCCCCTTGCTAAAGGAGACAGAAGAAAAGGCCTCCTCAGCTCTGTAGCCAGGGAAAAGGGCTCTCCATGCCCCAAAGCCTGGCTCAGGCCGGTAGTTCCTGGCAGTGCTGTCGAGCCCAGCCCACTGCTCTGCGGGACCTGTCATGGGCCCTCGTGCCACAACCACACTTACTCCTGCAGTACTTTCCCCGGGAGCTGCAGCTCTTCCTGCTGCTCTAACGTGCTCTGCCTTGCCGTGCTTCGCCCCTTCTTCAGCTTCTCGGCATAGGCCTTTCTCAGGAGGTAGGGAGGGCGATAGGGATCCTCAAACACGTAGGGGCAGGAGGTCTGCAAAGGCAGAGGACACTTTTGAAGCACTGCCACCAAAGGGCTGGGGCTGCTCCCAGAGCTTCAGCTGAGGCGTGGGACTTGCACAGGCTTGGCTTGGACTTCAAAGCAGTGGCGCTGACCCCTCGCAGAGAGCACACAGCTGACAGCCCATGCCACAGCCAGCTGCACGCTCCAGCCTGGGGGCTCAGGAACAGCTCCCACTGCAGGGCAGCGGGCAGGCCATGGCACTGCCGCTGTGCCTGGACACCTTCCCTGCTCCCTCCCAGGTGTGGCAGCTCCAGGGCCAGTGTTACAACAGGGAGCAAGGAGGAGAAATACCCCTTTCCTTGGGGCTGCAGGTTGTACCTGTCCTTGTTCTGTGTCCTGTCTCATTCGGTTGCCAAAGTACCTGCGCCACACTTCAGCTTCCACCTCGTGGCGCCTGGATGCCATCAGCAGCTGGAGCTCTCTTTCCTCCGTCACATTGTAGAGGGAGTGCATTCCCTGAAGCCCATGCACACACCACACATGCACCATTAGCCACCTTGAGCTTGTGTAGGGCAGGAGAGCTGGGACAATGGGCAGTTCTTGCTGCCTCTCCCGCCCCAGTCCAGAGCCCAAATTGTGACACAGGGCTGGCAAAACCCAAGGACGTACCATTGCTGAGGGCCGCGGAGTACATTCAGGGAGCTTTGACAGCGACTGAGAATGAGGTGTGGGTTGCATTAGCGTCTTATCAGTCTTCTCCTGGATTACAGGCAGTAATCTAAAGAGGAAGGTCAGCAGTCTGAGTCTCTGGGAGCCCAGTCTGAGCCTGTAGCTGAGGGATGGGCTCACATCCTGCCCCATGGCACCACACAGCAGAAGGACCACGAGTTCAGCAGCACAAAGTCTCCAAGGTCATTTGGCATCAGCACGTGCACCCCAGCCAAAGGAAGCATCTCTCCCCCACTACCACAAGGGCACAGTGTTCCCCACACAGCCTCAGCCACACCATCCCTCTACAAGGCTCACCGTCCTCGGCCGGTCTCCTTCTCTTTAGGCTGATCCCATTCCATCGACTGCTGGCTGGCCTGGGAAACCCTCCGCCGAGCCAGGAACACCGGATCCAGCACGCTGACTGCAAGAGGGAGAAAGGGAAGAGCACACAGTGTTTTAAAATCATGCGGGCCAGCAGGACGGGCAGAGTTGCTCAGTCGTGCCACGCAAGGCTCGCCCACAGTCCTTGTCAGCCCTGGGAGCTGAAGTTCCAGGCAGGCCACTGTCCCTTGCCCACAATGGATCTGCTCCAGAGCTGAATTCCCACCAAGACACCCATCTCTCTGAGACATGGTTTTCCTCCTCTCCTTCTCACAACTCTGCCATCAGAAGGGACCCACTAGGAGGAAGAACTGGGAGGTACTGGGAATCCCCAGGGCCCACAGGAGGCACTGGGTTGCAGGGGCTGCCCACAGCTCAGAGCCTCTTCCAGAATGGGTCATCCCACAGTGACCTCAGACCTCCTGCCCTCTCATGAGGGCAAGAGCACCCTCAGTCCCCGCCAGCCCTCAGATGGGACATTACCTCGGCGGGAACCCCCGCCCCAGGGCGCCGACTCTCTGCTGGGCTTCAGGGAAATCACAGGGGCCCAAGGCTGGTGCGGGATCTCCACTACAAGACTGGAAACAAGAAGGCACCAACTGGGTGAAGCTGGGGCACCAGACTCCCTTGGGGGCTCACACTTGTAATTGCTGGCACCCATCTTTGGGAGCCACTGCCAAGTCCTTGGAGGACACGGCACACATGCCCTCCTCAGTGTCCCCACAGACCCTCCTGCCTTGCTCAAAGCAGAATGGCCACTTTGTCTGCAATCTCCAAGTCAGGGAGGAGTGAGCGCTGGACAGAGCAGGAAGTTCTCCTAGGAAGGTGCTCATCCTGCCCAAGTTTGGTTGGAATGGAGGCTCAATGAGCTAGAAGCTGCAGAAGCCACGCTGCTCACCTTGGCAGTGTGATGACCTCATCTCGACTGACCCGATTAAAATCATTCTGGCCTGGAAAGGCCACGATCTTCATCATGTTGGAGTCCTGGAAGGGGACAGCCACATTTCAGCAGACACCCAGAAACGTGCTGGTTGCCCACAAAGGTGGCAAAGCATCTTGCTGCTCAGAGACACAAAGGCTGCTTCCCAGAAAGCCTCACACCACCTTCTCCCTTGGTGTCATTAGACCCTCTCTCAAAGGCGCCGAGGCGCTGCCAGACTTGGCCGAGCTCATCAGGAGCGTGCCTAGGCTGGGTGGTGAGGCAGGTCATGCCAGCTGAGAGAAGGCAGCAGGAGAGCTTTGACAGCGTTGCCACAGAGCCATGAAGAGGAATCCCACAGAAATGACAAGCTCACCCCAAGAAGAGCTTTCAGCATGTTTTCTGTCGTATCCAGCTTCAGCAGGCAGCGATCAAAGAAGGTCATGCTGACCACTTTTCCTCGCACGGCAAGGATACCGATGCCTTTGAAGGTGAATTCCACCTCTTTGTTGTCTCGGAGGGCCCCAGCAAAGCAAAGCAGGGTCTCGTGTACACACAGCTCCACAATTTCTCGGCGGAAGTGGGTGTCTGCAGCAATCTCCCCAAAGTCCAGCTGAACAACAGGTGTCTCATCTAGGACGCAAGCATAAAGTCAAAGGGTGTCTGCCACCACAGTTCAGCCAATTCCAAGTTTAGGGGTCATCAGTGTCGAGCCCTCAGGCAACACTCCGCCAGACAGTGCTCCCCTTTCAGCTTCAGCCACCTCTCCCAGAACAGAGCTGGTGGTCAGGAGAGGCCAAGCAAAGCTTTGCCTCCTGCTGCAATCAACCAGCTGGAGCACAGGGGGAGCTGGGGAGATGAGTCTGGCTCCCCAGGGAGGGGCAGGCTGCTGGGCTCCCCTGTGTGTGCCCACACTCAGCACTCTCCAGGTTGGAGGTGCCTTTCCTTGGCCATGTCAGAGCTGTTGGCAACAAGCCAAATGCAAGGGCTGTGGAGGGAAAGCATCCCGTTTTCTTACCAGGAATTTTGGTTTCGTCACACTCAAGGTGGTAGAATGTCCTCAGATGTTTGTTTACAATGAACGCAGGTCTCTCAACAGTCAAAACCTTGCCCTCTTCCACAACAGCTTGCATTGGGACAAGTGCAAATGTCCCAACTCCAATGTCCACTGCCTGGAAACACAAGCAAGAGGAGGGAGCATTGGCAGGGCTGCCCAGAGGTTGGGTGGCTGCCACATGACTGGCATGGTCCTGGGGATGGCACTTTGGCCTCTGCTCTGGAGGCCCAGAGGGACAGGGTGAGAGGCACATGTAGGAGACAGGACTCACCCTCTTCTGCAAGAGCTGTCTGTGGATGTAGCGAGATGCTCCAGTCCAGACTCTGCAGATTTCTGGAAGGCAAAGGAAAAGCCCTGCCATGCCCTAATTCAGGGACAGTCACCACCCCCTGTGCCCCCGCCCACACAGGTGAGAGTGGAGCGCCCTCAAGCCCCCCTTGCCCTGAGTAAGCACTCTCATCAGCAGGGCTGGCCAGTTGCATTCCTGTCTGCCCTAAGGCTCAAAGCAATCCACCCAGTGTCCATGATAGGCCTGGGTAGGAAAGGCAGGCAGTTATTCAGGGAAGGGGATTTCCACTCCTAGACACTGACAGTTCCTGGAGGCCTGGGCTACTGTGGAATCCCAAAAGGTGATTATCATGTGTATGTCTCAAAGACCCATAGCCAGATGGCTGTGGAGCCTACTAAGGATTGTTGATAACACACAAGGATTGTTGGTAGTAACCAGGGATTGTTGGTATTAGCACGCCATGGGAAAGAACAAAATATGGCTGGAGATGGGGACGACGAGGAAGTAGAGGAGCCCTTTTCTGGGACAAACATCCTTGTTTTTAATCCTGGGGATAAGCACAACACAGTATAGTTCCAGTACAGGAATGAGACCAAGAAGTGACCATGGACTGTGGGGGGGAAAGAAGAACACCAAAGACCCCTGAAGTCTTTCAACCCATTTCCAGAAAGGTGTGAAAGAATAGACTGCAGATGATAATTAATTTGTGTGGAAAGCGAGAAATCTCTTTGGGGTGTAGAAACCTGTCTATAAAAAGGTTACCCCACCAAGCCCAGGTGGTGCCCCCAGGACATCCCATTCGCTGGGCTGATACTGGAACCAGAAGTGGTGATTGATTCCTTCCTTCCTTCCTTCCCTCTTTCCTTTCTTTTTCTTTCTCTTGCTCTCTTCCTCTTTAGTTCATCTCTTCCTTTCTGTCCCCTTCTCATCTTACCCATTTATCCAAAACTCACTGCCATGTGCTTATATAGTATATCAGAAACTAACATAGAAATTTCCATGCCAAGTGTGTAATTTACTAATAAAACATCATGAGTTTTTGTGGATCCCCTGACTTTTGTTGTTCCTTTCTACCATGGGCATTACCCTTCCCCTTAAGGGTGGGACATCACAGCTGTCAAAGCTACCCCAGAGCCCCAAGGCACCACAAGGCAGGGCTCTCCTTACTGCAGCCTGTGCTGTCCAAAAGAATCCCCTCTATGGCCCCAGCCTCAGGCTTTGCACAGCTCATCTCCATATAATCTTGGCCCTGACAGTGCTTCTGCAAGGGATGCCCCTGACCTTACCACTGGTGCTGAGCTCCTTGAGGGTTGGGAGCTCCTCTGGCCCTACAGAACTATAGAGCATGTAGTTCTGCATCTTTGCCCCCCTGCACTGCAGCAGCTGAGAAAGAGGTTCTTGTCCTGCTACAAAACCCCTCTGCTCCTCTCCTTTCCTTAATGCTTCTCCCCAAGCAGCATCTCCAATGCCCTCCTAAAGTCTGTCTTTGTCTCCTGGCAGCAGGGCAGATCCTACAATACAGAGCAGAAAAGGTGCCTGCCGTGCTCAAAATCCCTCTGCTCCTCTCCTCCCTCTCAACACTTTTCCAAGTGGTGTCTCCAATGCTCTCCCACAGCTTCCCTTCGCCTCCTGGCAGCAGGGTAGCTCCTGCAACAGCTGCATGCTAGTGAGAGCAGTTCCAGTGTTATCCAGTCCTCTCCAAAGGGTGTGGTCCAGGGACACTGCCCTGGGATGTGGGTGTCCCACTGTGATGTCATGCCATGGGTCACAGGGCTGCACACAACCTGCCACCACACAATCCCACCCACGTTTATCTCCAACATGAGCTGGGCAGCCCCATCAGCCACCTCAGGCTGCTGCACTGACCCTCTGGCCTGCACAGCTCAACTCATCCTCCCCAGCTGGGCACACAGGAACTCCTGGAACCTGGGGAGGAACATGCATTAGTGCTGAAGGGGCTTCATGCACTCACAATAAAGATGGAGAGGTTTCCCCCAGGTCACAGGGGAAAGCAACCCCACATTTTGGCTACAAGGCAACCCTTAGCCCCTCCTATCCCTTAGGCCACTGGGATGGACCTCTTTCCCTACACCAGGATCCACAAAGAAGGACCACAACTGCACAAGGGATGCTGCAAAGACACCATGTGCCTTGTAACTGCATCCTCCCTCACACACACACCCTCCTGGAAAACTTCCCTTGACATGATTGTCAACTTCCCAAATCCTCTACCAAGCTTGGAGAGATTCTTTGCACCTGGCTACAGGCATCCAAATAAACCAGCCCAGATGGGGACTGATAACCATGTGCAGGTGGTATAAGAAGTCATCTTTCCTGAGACAGGAATTGTGTTTGGCCATCAGCTTGTCATTGTCTCTGTTAGGGATCACTACACTGTTCAGGCACACAAGGCACAGCTGAAATGAAAAACCCACGTGCAGGCACATGTAACTCAGCCACTGAGTGTGGTGTACCAGGTGTGAAGGAACAGGGACATGGTGGCTGCTGTTGTCAGGTAGAATATAAATAGCTACCATGAGATGATGGCTGCTCCAGATTCTATTTTTATAATATATGCAAACTAAGCTCAACTTCTGGTTATTTTTAAACATTGACCAGTTCATTTATTTAATTATATATGACTTTAAAATACTGTTCATGAAAACTTATTAAGTTTCCATAATACCTTGTGGGTGCCTTTCCATTAACATTTCTTAGACTTTGCATAAAGGTGTGATTCATGGCCTATATGTACAACCACCCTTCAGAGAGATTTTGAATTTGCTAAGACAATCTCTGTGAGTAAATGTTGCTCATGTACGTTAGTGGTTTCCAAGTCAGGCAATTAACTTACAAATGTTTGCAGGCTCTTTCTTAATTTTTTTCATAACATAGTCAGGCACAGTATTAATATCCAGTACCAAGTCTAATAAAATTTCCATTACCTTCTGGGGTTAATAATGAACACAGCAGGGACAAAATCAGTATCACTGTATTAACTATCATTAAATAAGGTACCTAAGCATCAGCATCACAGGAAGTGAAAAGCTTAGTGTATATAAAAAATTTGTATTTGTCTACTTATCTTATTCAAATTCTAACTTTAACATTAAGCCTTGGATTTTAAAATTAGTAATGTGCAAACACATTGTGCATGGTCAATTAAACTAAACTCCACTCTTTCACATCATCACAGGAACTGTGAAAAACAGAACTAAACTTCATTTCTGCCAGTTTCAAAAAAGTATTTTAGATTTTTTTCAACTATGAAAAAAACTGTCTGAATCGATTAGTTTTAAGTATGGAATTCTCTGAAGGATTTGATCCTACATATAACCATCTCAACCTAAAAAACAAATCCATGGTACATATTACAATAGTAAAATTAAATTTTACTACATTCCTTCATTAGCAGCATACATCCATGTAATTAAAATATTTGGAGTTATCGAATCTGAGGCATGTATTATGTCTGATCTAGCACATGGAATTCTGTGGTAGAGGGCTCAAGGCATATTCCCCACTGGCTAACCTTGGGCACTTAAGTGTTCCTGTGGACAAGTAGGCTCCACACAACCTGTCAAGCCAGCAAAGAGAGAAAAACACAAACCACATAGGTCTGAAGTCACCTCCATACATAATAAAATGTGGCACAATCACATTTGGAAAGCAGGGAGTAAAAAGAGAAAATGGCTTAGGAGGAGGACATCAGTAAAACAGAAAGGGGAGAGAACAGACAAGGGATCCCACCCAGCTCCCCACGTGCTCAGGGCAGTGAACTCACCCGAGCACTCCCATCATCCCATCCAAATTATGCTGGGTGGAAGGGAGAAGGGCAGTGCTAACATCTCCTACAGTCTTCTCTCCCTACAGACTCGGGACACAGATAAAAGCATGAGTCCACAGGTTGCACAGGGTAAACAAAAACCCAAACTTAGATGATGCCAGGCTTTTCCCTGCACTCTTTTCTGTTAAAAGCTTGATGATGGAAGGAGAGGCACCTTGTGAGCGCTGATTAACCTCAAAATGCTCAAGTCTGCACTGTTCTGGTCTGAGAAAGTTTATTTATGGCTGACCACTATTTGAGAAGACCTGCTACCTGTTCACAGTGCTGCAACAGACTGCATCCACTCCAGTTCTAAAAGTAATCCTGCTGTTCTTTATGTGAACCACACATCAACACCGTAACTAATATGAGTTGGCCTTTATTAGCAGTTTGAGATACAAGACAGTCTATGGGCTTAGAAAGTGTGGCCTCTTAAGGCAGGACTCTTCAGGAAAAACAGAGGTACCACAGCAGAGAAATACAGTGAGACAATGCCTGCAGTTTCATAATATGCTTTTTTTTTTTTTTTTCCCCCAGACTGGAAGTACAGGAGAAATGCACAGAGCAAAAAAATAAAACTTTCAAGGACTAAATCTAGAACCATGCTGTATGTTAAACGTATTTTAGCATACACAATTAAAATGAAATGGTTTAGTAAGTATCACAATTTATCTTCTCATACAAATGAGAACAAAATTAGTTTTAAATATCTCAGAATCACAATTTTTCCTCCTTCAGAGTCAAATGGGGATGAGGACTTTTTGAACAAAGGGACTTACAGTGAAAACCTGCAAGCATCTGTAGCCACATGCATTTCTCATTTCCATCTCTATTTTTCTCCTTCTTCCTCAAAGCAATTAAAATCTTCCTTTTGCTGGAAGGCCTGTGGGGAATAATCAGAGGGGAGTTCTGAGAGACAATGAGGTCCTGAGGTGAACCATCTTCCTGTGGGTCCTCAGTCAGCACCATCTCCATGGTACCACTGACAGTGCAGTGCTCCTGGTAAACCTTTCTTGGTGTCACTCCAGCAAGCTCTGGTGCCATGTGGAAATGCTGTTTTCATTACTCAAAAGACTGAATCTATGTTTGTGCCTCTGCCCAAGGGCTGACTCACTCCACTCACGTCCACCCTGACTGACCTAGCCCCATTTTGTCTGTAAGAGTCAAGCTGTGCTTTAGGTAAGTGCAGCTAAATTTGGGAGATGATAACTTTATTTC